TTCTCTTGGATCCACGGACATATTTGTCCATTTTAAGTCTGCAAGAATAAACTCAGGGTTAACTAAGCTAGAAAAGAAAGGAATTTTAATCAGCAGGATGAGCAAATGCTAAGCAAATGCCATTTGCAATCCAGAAGGTATTCACCTATTTAGGGATTCAGGAAGTAGTATTAAAAAAAGGAAAACTATAATGCAGAATGATAACTGATGACTATAATCCATATGTGGGGAAAAAAAGTTAAATAATCTGACATGTCCTTTAGCATTTAAATGAGATATAAGGAAAATTAAATAACAAGAAGCTTTTCAGCAGTGTAACAGTGCTAAATGGGCTCTAGGAAAATTGACTGGATTCTAACAGTAGAATCTCTCCTAACCTTACTATGACAAGAGAAGAGAGAATAACTATCACTTACCTACAAGTGTTTTCTAAGTTTTTTGAGTGAGCATTTGTTTTGTTAACTCATCCAAACACTAGGTTTTTTTTTGAAAGAAGCAATGAGCTTCAAGAGCACAAGAGGCAGGCAACGGCATGACTAACCCTTTAGAGAGCTTTTTACCCTTGGAAGCTGACCAATTCTATCGCTCCCTTCGTGATAAAATATTTTCATAAAGGAGATTTGGATGGACTGGACTTTGCAATGGAGAAAAAAAACAAACCAGAAGGGCTTTCCATTACCAGGAAGGAAGCTGGCTGGCATGATCCAGTTGTGAAATAATTAACAGCGTGGAAAAGAGAAGAGGGAGCCTTACGTGCACCATTTGTGGAGTGTTGCAACGTCTCCTCTCCCCGAGCTGGAAAAGGGGTTCTGCTGTAGCCAATCAGTCATGTGCAAGGGCTGTTCCTTCTCGTTTTGTGAGCCAAGGATGGGAGAAGTAGGTGAAGGGAGGGGTGGGGAGGAGTGTCAGCAGGATTAGTGTCAGCAAGAGGTTCAGCTATACATACCACCCAGATGCAAGTCGATGAGGTCACTGTAATAAGACTCTCCCCAATAGTCTACAACAAGGAAGTGGTGAAGACAGAGTTATTGAATCACCTCAGGCCCACACAATCAGAGCAATATAAGAGAAAGAGACGGACAGACAGACAAAAAAAAATAAAGGAGACAAACAAGAAAACATGCATATATATACAGGTATGTGTATATAAATACACACACGCATATATGTATATGTCCCTCTCACTACATATACATATTCATATCTATATATCTATAGATATATATGGATATAGATGCACATTTATAATGGGAGGATGAGAACAAAATTCCCAGCAGGCAGGCAAGGACTTCCAATGGGAAAAAACAAGAAGTTTACACAGAGACACTTCACCTATTTCAGTCTGCACCTGACACTGATGTCTGTCTGTTCTTGCTGAGAAAGGAGGAGCTATTCCTTCTGTTTCCATGCTGAGCAATATGTCATAAGGAAACACTGTAATTCCATGGGTCAGCTGCAGCAAAGGTGTAAGGGATGAGTCCTTGGAGGTGAGCGAGTGGAGGATATATGTGTATAGCACACGAGTGAAAGGCATTGACCAAATGCTGGCACAAATGGCAAATGTCTCAGTGTAGAAAGACAGGCTCAAGAAATTTCTGGCTTGACATATTTTTCAAGGAAATCAATGAAAAAGATGGAAAATCCACACGGAAAAGGAGAGTTATCACCATATCCAAACAGGCGAATGCACCATCATCCAAAGGACTGCTAGTTTAACAGCAGTCTCGTTCAAGGGGTCTCTTCCACCGACACATTGCAGAAAAATGGGAGAATTCTTCACTGGGATTATCCTATTGTACCTTGTCCGTGATGCAAAAGAGAGAAAAAGAAGTGAAGACAAAAACCTAAACCACCTGATTATGACAAACTCGTCACATGAAATGGAGCTTGCACTAACTGCCAGAGGGTGAAATTTTCAAGGAAAATCACAGAGGACATATTCAGGTAAGTAAGTAATCATAGGGTCATAATCATAGTAAGTAATCATAGGGTGCAAGATGATTTTCTGGATTCTAAACTAAACTTTGTAACAAGCATTCCATTTGCAGAAGAATAAAAGTGCCCTTCCTGAAACTGAGCCACATTAAAAATGAAGAGACAAAGAGGTAGACAAGAAAGTACAATTATTTAGATTAGTCAAAATTAAAGTTGATAGTGACCTCCAAGATGTTGCTGAGTCTGATTAGTTGACTAGCGAGCAGGATCATATAGAGTATTTCATCTTGACAAGTATCAGATAAAGTGAAATTCTTGGAAAGAACACTGAGCTACTTGTACCTACTGCTATGATCTAAATTAACTCTAACCTCTGAGGGAGACAGCAGGGCACCCCTACAAACGATTTATTAACCGTCTGTCAGTGTAAGTCAGCTGGCAAGAAAATATTAAGGTGTATGCAAAATGGATGGAAAATAGAAGCAAAGTTTTTCTAATTACATTATACGTATGTTTCTATAGTACTATTCTTTTTCTTAGCAATCCAACTTAAAATTATGATTTGGCAAAAATGGAAGAAGGTCCAGAGGTCGGTGATATGAACAGTTAACGTTACGGAAGACCTATACTTCAGGAAAAAATGATATCCTTTAGTGAGAGGATGGGCAAGAAGATAATGATACATAATATACAGAAGCATTTCACATGGTCTTGTCTGTCTTCTTCCACAACAGAAAAATAAAAATAAAAATAATGAACCACTAAAACCCACAAAACTCTGTTTCTTCTGTCAGGATTTTCAATTAACTAGTAGTAGGAAATCCCTAATAATAATATATAAAACTTCAAATATGAAGTTGCATAAGTCAATGAATGATTAAAGTTAAGACTTTTCCATTCTGTACTGAGAGGGGAGCTGAATAAGCCACTCCTTAGAATCCAGTACCTTCTGCAAGAACAAATAATACTGGTTGTCATCCACAGGATGGTCTTTCTTTGCATGGCCATCCTCTACTTGTGAGGACACAGCATGCACAGAAGAGGGCTGCCTCCCATGTTTCTTCATCTTGCACAATGTTGTTAAACAGAGAGAGATCTTCTTCAGACGACACCACTTCATAGGCTACTCTTCCCTTTTCAGCTTTTGCTTACAAGATTTCATCAAGGGCAGGAGCTGACAAGAGTGTGACTTCACACTCTTAACCAATGGCACTGCTAAGTGCAGCAGTCACTGCTGGTTACCATCTGATGCAATGCAGGTAATAAGACATTTATGTTAATTTTCTGAATAATTAATGGTAATTGGAGGCGGAAATTAATGGATATCAATGGGGAGTGAAGTCACAGAGCAATTATCCAGGTCTGTAATTGTGAAAATATGTAACACTGTCCATGCAAGAATGACTAGAGAGGTGAAGGATAGAGCTGACTTTTTATCTCGTGTTTTCAGCTAATATGGGTTAGACCTTTTTTTTTTGAAGAGAATGCGTTTCTTGTTAATCCCCTGAAAAAAAATGGAAGAGTTGAGGTTGATGAGTTCCTATGATGGAGTTAAGCTTCTGTAAACAATAAACCATCTTTTGGTGGAAATGTTGCCAGGAGCAGAGCATATCCTAGAGACTTACTGGAAGAAGAGATTCTCCCACTTTGCAAGAGCGACCTGTGATTTCATAATCCTGCTATGAAAATCACATACATACAAACTTAAGTAAGACCTTGTCCTTTTCGGATGAGTTGCGAGTGAGAAAGCTGACAAACTTTCCTACTTGTGCTAGCATGTCCTACATGAGTGCCACTGGTGAATAACCAAGACAGATTTCCAAGTGAAAAAAATGAAAAGTAAAGAAGCAGAGAAAAGAGAGGGGGAGTTAGTAAGTGCAGTAACCACTGGGCTGGAGAACAGAGTGAACCACACAGAAATACACAGCACAGGAAAAGAGGCACCACCACAAAGAAACACGCTGTGTCTCAGGTTATTTTTTGAACCCCCAAATTAAAAAGCCAGTCAGAACACGACTACTGAAGTGACTGAGATTGTCCTGCACACCTGCAGTAGTCATTTGCTTGGGTAGGTGCTCAACCCTGTTGTTTTGCCATGCCCTTACAGAATATGAAACTACTAATCGTCGTGGCCAAGTAGCAACTGCTGGGAAGTTACACTGGATCCTTCCTCTGTTGAACCTTCACTGATGAAGCAACTGTGATCTTCATAGATACAGTGATTGCTCTTCAATGCCAGCAACGAGCCAAGCCATTTTCCAAACACTTGTTCCACTAGTATAATTTCCAATCTCTGATCCTTGCAATCAGGTGCATAGTCCTGGGCCTGACAGATATACACACAATGCATTTGCCTGTTGGATGTCTGACTCCCTGTATTTAGGGATTTCCAAATTACTATTCCATTATCTGAATCAACTGTTGCTCCACTCTTACACTTTGTCAGATCGGGTGATGATCATTTAACTGAATTTCAAGTACATTTAGCATATTCCATTAACAGCTCAACATGGATACCTTTCAGTCCATGTGTGCATTTCTACTCTGCACAACTTTGTCAGAAGTTGCCAGTGTGCTGGGCTGTGCAGTGAGGAAGATGTTCTGTGATGGTCCCTTGTAAGGACACTACCTTGATAATCCAACGCAAGAGAGAAAGCACACACAATTTTACAATTACTTCCCTAACATACAAACAGGATTCTCTTACTGTGACAGCTTTACATGAACTGCAGCCATGAAACCCCTGCCATTTTCTAGCTGTAATATCCAGTAAAATGCAAGAAAAAGTCAAATGGACATTTTAATCTATTAATAATTGGAGGGTTACCTCTTAAGCCTCAGGCAAAGGCAAGTGAACTAGTTTCCTGCCATTAGGGAAATCCAAGGATTAGAAGAAACACAGGAACAGTAAGGCCTCAGAAAGATACTAGAAAAGGGAGAATGAATTCACAATCTGATTCTAGGCTACAATGGTCCAATTGCCTCTAGAATACAAACAGCTATGGACTACTGCACAAGCATTTGGTAAGAAAACACTGAGAAGCAAACCGAGCTCTGCTGGATACCTGCTTCTCCCCGAAGGGCCTTCTCCACAGCAACTCCTCTCTCCTCAAGTTGTCTCTGCTTCTCTTCCACCTGCTCAAGCTGGCGCTGGATGATCTGTCCAGCAAAATAAAATAAAACAGAACAGCAGACACTCATCAAAAGCAATTCTCTTGTTCTGCCTGCAGTCCTCATGCAGCTCTAAATGACTTCAGGCAAATCAATCTTTTCAGAAACAAATATCTGCATTCAACAATACACTGCTTCGGCAGGTAGCACTGCAGTCCCCTGCAGAGAAGGAACTCCCTCTGTATCCTATCCCTTAGTTTTACAAAGACTTTGATACTCACTTACCTGCTGCAACTCCAAACACTTTTCTATATTCTAAAGTGAAGGTAATGCTATTCAGTTAGCTTCAAGTTTTAGCAGAAATCCCATTACCAACAGACAATGTCACCAGTCTTCCAACAGATCTCTCCTAATGAAATGTTAATCTGGTAACGCTTCCCCCAGCAACATAACTTAGTATAACAATCATTGGTGCAGCCTCATCACGTATTGACTACCACTCATCTATTCAGTGAATGGTATTTTGCTCTTCTCCAATTAGATAGGTGTCAAAATCACTATTTGCCATTTTTCTTGCTCTAATACCACCAGGATAGCTCCAGCAATTCTTCCCATGCTTGTGACATAGTACCAGGTTTGACAGAGAGTGAGAGTGGTGATAATCACGTAGAAACAGAGGAAAGTTCTGGCTCTGGATCCTCTCTTGGCACACTAAGAATGCCAGAATCACGGTGCTTTCACATAGACGTTTCCAGGCATGACACGCAAAGTGTGAGGCACTACCTGGGCTCTGTGTAACCTCTTTAGCTCCTCCTGCTTGGCTTGTCTACGGGCAGCTTTCTGCACTCGCCGAGTCAGCTTGGCATTCAGTTCCTCTTCTGTGTAGGCTCTCTGAAGGAAGAAGAAAGAGAAGCAAATTCTATTTGCATGCCCAGAGATAGAGGGGAGGGAAGAGAAATTCTCTCTGCCAAAATCTCACAGGAAAAGAGTTGTGTCATTGTCATGGCTGTGTCAAAACTCAAGCTTTCATAGGCACAGGTGTTTGCAGTGCAGCGAGCAACAATTTCAGGGTCAAATCAGGAGTGAAGAAGTGTATAAGCCAACTGCAAAGCTGTGACTTTATATAGTAGCCTATCCCTGATTTCAATCGCTATATGGAAGCTCCCCACAAAGATCATTATTCTTTTCCTCAAAAGAGTTAGCCAAATGGATTTAGCTAAACCAATATAATAGTGACTATATAAAGAGGTCACCTTGAAGACAGTGAAGCATGTCTACATGAAACAGTTATAACAGCACAAACAAGAAATTAATTTAGGCCAGTGCAGTTATATTGGTTTTCCTCTCTCTCCATATCTACCATTTTATTTTAGAGCAGTAACATCCATATTTGCCAATTATATTGGTATAACTAATTGGAATACCTGTGTATAAATTTATGCATTTTTTTCTATGTATCAGGAAGACAAAACGAGACTTCAAAGCAGACAATCCCTAAACTAAAACTAGACTACCACAACACCAAAACAGAGAAAGGCTCTTTATATAGAAAGGTATTTCCTCCTCTTTTCTCCCGCTATGGCTAGTTTTAAAAATAAGTAAATTGTTATTGACAATGGAGCTCTGTATTTTTTCAATTTTTTTAGTTGGTTGTTTTGTAATCTAGGTAGGCTTCTTTTCACAGGCTTTAAGAATGTCAATGGAGCTTACAATTGTAATTACAGTGAAGAAAAGAACTCTCTTTCACATACATTTACACAGGCTTTAAGGGACAGCTGGAAACAGATGCCTTCCACTTCTGGAAAGATATCTTCTCCATGGAGAGCCAACTTAAAGGACAAAAGATTAATACAGACCAACCAGAATGTGTTTCATCTAACTATTGTACTGCCACATCAATCTGTCTATCTCTGTTTTATTGCCCTCTGCAAGTAGAGGTCTAAGTAGGGACCACAATTCTATTCAAAACTCCTCAGAAAGGAAATTACCAAGCACCACTGCAAAAACTCCAAGCTGTTAATGGTTTTCTTTTTTTTAAACACAAATTCCACGATGACACCCCAATTAGAAGGGAAAGTCCTAAAGGATGAGATATCCCATCCCACCTAACACTTTTTTGACTGTGAAGATAGGACAATAAGATCTTCAAACCCAGCAATATTACTGAAATAGAAACACAACTTCTATCTTTTCATTTTAACCTGATAGAGAGTTTCACTGAGATTTCAGGGAATGCAAGAACCCTGAAGGACACTGACTGAAGAGTGGCAATTCATTGCAATTATATCCTGAGTATTAAAAATATATATAAATATACATTTAACTGCCTAGCAACCCAAACTGTTCTGCAGTTCATCCATAATTGTTCAAAGCTCATCCACACTGTTCTCTACAGCAGTGAATTATTTTTCACTGAGAAGTGCATGCACTCTAAGAAGTCAGAGAACTGGGAGGCTAATGCATTTTTCAGACAACCTCCACAGAGATTTTGCTGCCCATGTCTGCTGACATCTCAAGCATGCACAGTCAATGTTTGTGGTGTTAGTGCACACGTGATGGGTAGCTATGGATTCAAAGGGTTAATGCAGGGACACGCATGCAGCAATGGCCAACTAGTCGGAATGGAGACACTACCTTTGACGAGTATGATCTCTTGAATGCCAAGGCGTGTGGTACATAAATCGACTTTAAAGGGGAATGGTAAAGGAAAAAAACAACATACAAAATGAAGCAAAATCAGTTCAACATTGAAAACAGATGCACAGTAATAAAACAAAGCTGCTTTTAAATGAAACATGAAATTGTGCAAATGCTGAACATGGCCCAGACTGATTAAGCACAATGGAACTTCTGCCACAAAACTGAGGTTCTAGCGCTATCCTGAAGGCCCTTGGGCTTGGGACCCTCTTTGAAGATGAATCCAACCTGTAAATCCATCTTCTATAGGGATTCTTTGCCTTCTATAGTCTCTGCTCATCAGATTTAATGTCTATTGAAAAAATAAATGTACATGCATATACAATATTTTGGCTTAAAATCTGAAATTATGGCTTTATCCTGGGCATGCCTGGTCTAAGCCTGCTCACCCAGTTATATATTACATTTTGCCATACATTTACAGACTGATTTACAAATATCCTAGAAGTTAGGCTTATTTTGTGATTTTAAATGATCTTTACTTAATAAAAATGATCATTTACGTTTAAATACCATCATAATCCTCCTCACTGCTTTATGACTGGAGCAATACTAGATGGGCCCACAGTGGGTAACATATTCTACATTAATGGAATCTCCTTGTCCTAAAAGAAAATCTCCAGAGAGTTTGAGGAACTCAAATAATGGCATTGCAGCACAATTGACTCAGTGCTGCTGCACTGGATAACATTCTCATTAGTGCTGAGTCAGGAACTAAACACTGTCAAACTTTTTTTTATTATTCTCATTTTAATTTTCTGTTCTGGTTATTCTCTCTGGTAGTTCCAATGAATACTGAAACGAAACAAGAAGTCATTTCTTTCTCTATCCAGTGACATTGTAAGCTACATTGCACCCAGAAAACAAGGCCAATAGACTACGTGGGGTCTGTAAGAGAGGTGCATTTTCCTTCTGGCATCAGCTGCAGAAGGCATTGTGCCATTCTGGGGGAAGAGCCAGCATTTTGCTTTCCACATTCAATAAACTAAAACCAGTCACAGCTGAAAAGCCACAGAGCAACTTAAGCATGTATGCAAACTTAGGTAACCAGCAAACTACCTGTAGCAGCAAATGGATGTTTGACCACAAATACCACAGCTGTACAGGAACAACGACAAACACACACACACAGATAATGACAAATATCTATTAGCACAGAGCATTAGGCTAGGAATTCTTTACAGGACGCTTCTCTTGAAGGACAATACACTAAACAACACTGAATTGCTCACTGCTGATCACGCAGGACAGGCTAAAGAGAGCAGGCTCTCTGGGGAGCAAGCTGGCTACAAGAACCAAAAAAGCAGCACTTGCAGCATTTTAGTTCAGCGAAGGGGTTCACATAAAAGTTATGTGACACACAGGAAGTCAGTTCTTACCATAATGAGTAACAGGTTCTTTGTAACTTAAGATAAGACCACCTTAAGTTAGTATGAACTCAGTTTTGTCAATTCGAAAGTCCAGCTACATTTACTTTGATAGCAAAGCACCCCAGGGTTTGCAAAAATGTTTGACATCCTTAAGGCAGGATGCGTTGTAGCCAGAAAGTTGAGTTTTCAGATCCATTTCCTCTGATTAACTAGACTCATTCTCAAAAAAACACTCCATTAGAAAATAGGCAGATGCTGAGCAAAGAAATTATTAACATCATTCAGCGACAGCAAATGATAGAAAATGGGAAAGCAACATTTCAAATGAGCTGTGAGATATTCTGAATATTAAGATTCCAGGTACTTGCCACTGACCACATCACCCATAACTGTAGTGATGATACTGTTTCTGCAGAAGTTAATTTAAATCAAACTAGCTCAACATAGAAAATGTGACCATCAAGATATACTCAAGTTTGAGAACAGGCATGGACCTTAATGAAGCCCTGTCTTCTCCTGAAAGAGCATACAGTGCAGAATTGTAGCTTCATAAGTCTTATCTGAACCCCTTGTACTGCAAGGCTGTCCTCTGCTAACCACGGGTACCTCATTCTTTTGCACCTCTTGCAAAATGCAGAATTTCTCATGAAACGTCTTGATAGCATGCAAGGAAGAATGGAGGAGGAAGGGAGAGAGAGAAAATGCAACCAAATAAAAACAAAATAATCTTCCCCTCAGAAAAAAAACATATATACCAGTTAGGAAGAGGGAACAAGGGAGACTCAAGTCAACTCACAACTCCTACTTCTTTCACCAACCCCTTCCATGAGCCTCAAATTTGTTAGGTATTCTAATTTATTCTGCTATATACACACACAGAGAAAGTACTTCCTATGACATTCAAGCTGCAGTACTTCTATACCTCTGCCACCTGAGCCAAGTATCAACTAGATGCTGGCATCTGAGACCAATTCCTGCATAGTGGATGAAACGTTGGAATTTGGATGTACAGAGCACTCTGTGACAGTGCTTTCTTAGCTAATCTGTTCTTCGTGCGAATCAGGCTCCACAAGGAAGGGGCAGAAGGAATTCTCTTTTCAATTTTCTGTACCAGTAGGGCCTTAAGGTACTGTGGAGTCAAACCATGTACTGACTCTACTGATCATAGAATGAAAGAATAGAATTGGAAATGAAGGAATCTCGGGAGTGAAAGCAGTATCCTTTCCCCTTATAATAAATGTAGCTGATCTTATTTTAGCATTATTAGTGCCACACTAATATTGAAATAAATAATCTGAAAGCAATTAACAGATAGTTAGTTATCTAACTAACAGGCAGTTAGTTATCACTACTTATTTTCCAAATTGCAAATAAACTAAACATATCTTTTTTTCTTCCTGCACTTCTAGTGGCATCCATTGATCTCTCTTCTGTTCTCTCCAATATCTTCCTTTACGTATAATTAAAAGGGAAACTTATTTGGCTAGAGAGCCATTGATAGGGCTTACATTATAATACCATAGCACTTGCATAGGAAACCTGTGCAGGAACGAGAAACAACTTTCTCAGAAGAGGCAGAGTTCATACCAACCTACACCTGAACGAGGACACCAGGCTAAGACCAGTCCCTATATATTGGGATTGTGCAAGGACTTGCTGCGTATATCTTTATCATAGCTGTTCCTCTTATCTTAGTTTGTTCCTCTTCTCTATAGGAACTAACATATGGAAATACTCATGCAGTGTGAAGAAGTTCTAAAAAGGAACATGGTCAAATGGGGGGAGAAAGGGGGAGGAGGAGAGAGAGGGAGAGAGGGAGAAAAGAAGAGAGGAAGAGAGGGAAAGAGAGGGAGAGAGAGAAGAGCTCATCTTTTCTCCAAAAAGGGAAGACACTAATTCAGTCCGTAAACTTCCTCTTCTGCCAGGAACAAACCACCAAACTCAACTGAGTTGCAAAACTGCAAGCTACAGCTTACCTGGCTTGACTTGATATGTTCTTGATGCACACAAAGTAACATCCCTGCCTATCATTTGCCTCGAATTCTATCAGATCAATCCAGTGAAGAGCATGGCACGCTAATGTACTAAAATAAAAGCCTCTCAAACAACAGAAAAGGCTATTTCACTGGTACCTTCTTGCCATGACAGTGAATGAAATTACACCAAAATCAGTGAAATTGACTCTTGATATTAAATTTCTGTTTTGTATAGATCACAGGCATGCTCACCACAGGGAGAAAAATATCCCTGTTCAGAGGGTGATACTGAGCTGTAAAACAATGTCTCAGTGAGACGATTCCTTCATATAGCAATAGGAAATAGCTCAAATTCATGAAACTAACTCATTTTAGGTAGATCATTCAGCTCACTTACAGGAAAGCCAGCGCAACAGAAGAAACAGTGAGAATGACAAAATTAATGAATCGAATTTCCGTTGTGGTTCTAAGCCTATGACCTAAACGATGCTTGCCTTATGTAAAGTGCACTCCCCATCTGCCTACCTCTCGCTTGGATTTCTGGGAGGAACGTTCTAAAATATCATCACTGGAGAGGTCAGAGTCCTCTGAGAAACTCAGGTGTCGACGTAGCTGCAAATCTGAGGAGCCAGGGATAAAAAAATAAGGTTTGAAAAACGGCAATTACGACAGTCCCTTTCTCTCTGGAAACATTTAAGAAGTCAATTGATTAAGCTAAGGTTCACAAATATTTAGTCTTTCACACTACTCTGCTTTTTTAAGACAGGATTATCTTCTGACTAGATAAACATCACTCCAAAAATGAACAGTATTAATCAGAAGTTTCATTTTAAGAGAGCATCATCTTCTGCAAACAATGTTAGAAGAAATGGTCATGGCTCTCCCTTCCTATTGTATTAGTGCTCTTACGGATAGATGAGAATTTGGATGAAAACAGCACGCAGCATTTCCACTATTTGTACAAAGCCAGAGAAATGTTACGTGTCTGTTTTCAACCATGTTTATGGCTAACTTATTTACTTCATCACAAGTTACTGTTAAAAACATCTAATTGCATCTGATGACATGTGAGCTCAGAATCCCCATTTCTTATATTAGTAGAGAATTTGCAGATCACTGAAAACACAAAAGAAACTGTGTCTCTGTGATCCTCAGCAACCACCGTGCCAGACCAAAAGAAAGAGAACAAAGTCCCAAGGGGAAAGTTGATGATCAGATTTAAAATACAGATGAACTTAAGGGAAAATTTCTTAACAGTGAGGATGACAGAGCGCTGGACATGCTGCCCAGGGAGGTTGTGGAGTCTCCTTCTCTGGAGATCTTCCAAATCCGCTTGGACGCAGCCCTGTGCCACGTGCTCTGGGTGACCCTGTGTGTGCAGGGGGGTTGGACTGGATGATTTCTAAAGGTTCCTTCCAACCTTAAGGATTCTATGATTCTATGCATGATTCTGGCAAATATAGCTTTTTATCAAGTCAGTTGAATCCAGAAAACAGATATGTCTTGTATATAACAAGAGTAAACCTTCCATTTATGGATCCATCTTCTTTGTTAGCTGTCATATACACTAACTCTGCAAACACACAAATTGTATTCATTCAGTGTATTCATTCACCCTGATCTGCACATTAGAACAGGAGAGCAGTGTCACGCTACTCAGTATCACACAGAGCTATATTTCCTTTCAGGGATTCCTAGCTACACCACTACACACTAGCTACTCAACTGCAGAGGCACGTATCAATTGTACCTGCTGCTGTAACCAATGCAGAAGCCTTGTGCTTGCCAGAATCCACCGTGGCGCTACTTGAGGGCGTACTGGGGCAGGACTTGTCATCAGTCTTTTTCTTCTTGTCTTTCTTATAGCCCGAAAAAACAGACTTCCATAATGATCTAGTTTTTGTTCCTTCCTCTGTCCCACCACTAGATTTGTCAGAAAGCCTGCTGTCATTTTTGGATTTCTTCTCCTTTTTGTTCTTACGAGGGGAGAAAAGAGAAGTTCTTTTCTTACTCTTTCCACTAGAGCCTTCTGAAGAGGTGATGGACCCTTCAGGCCCAGCCACCTCAGCAGGAGTGGAGAACTTTTCACTAGCAGCATCATGCTTTAGTGTAGAGCTCTCTGCTATTTTCAAGGCTAAGTGCTTTGGAGAGTTATAAAATAACTCCTTGGTCTTCAAGGGCATGGAAGATGCCTTTCGTGCCCTTGCAGACCCAGCAGCAGCTGCCATCTCCATATCTTTCATCTTACACAACTGTTGAGCCATGGCATCGCGTAGTGCTTGGCTCTTGACAGACTTCTCTCTGGCTCTCATTCTTTCTTCTGCGAGCTCCTTGGCTTCTAGAGAAATTCCAGGCAGCACTCTTTTCTTTTGGTTAACTTCTCCTTCCATTGATGGTAGACCACCATTTTCTTTGACCAAGGGCAAAAGAAGAGGTTTCTCTGGCCTTGGCCTACTGGTAGGAGGTGTGAAGAACTTCTCTTGAAGACTTGTGTCCTCTGTTCTCTCATCGTAAGTATCCTCTACATCATCAGCAAATGGAATCTCATCTACACTCTCGGCAAAAGACTTCCGCACTTCTTCTTTTTTGGCCTGGGCTGACTCTTTGGCAGCAGAGGTTGGCTCATACCGTGGGGGAGCAGGAGGTGTTGATGCTGGTGTTGGAGGTGACTTGGCTTCAACCTCATTTTGCCAAATGGCTTGATGCCTCTTTTTACGCAAGGTAGCTGGTTCCTCATCCCGAGGAGGTGGCGGAGGTGGACTCGATGGAGGAGTAAGCATGGTAGAGTCAGAAGTGTTGAAGCTCTGGCTAGCCATTGTTCTCATGTTAGACGAACTCTCCTGAAGGCCAAGACCAGAACTGCTGGACACATCTCTTCTTACTTCATTAGAGTTCTTCAGATCTTTTTCTGATGGAGATTTTGGAGTGAGCAGGGAAATCTGCTCATTTTCTAACTTGGACAGTCCCTGTCTTCTTGGGGCGGGCTGGGGTTTCACGAGATGGACCCTCTCCTCCCCTGAAACATTCTCACTGTTGAAAGACTTCAGCTGAGTTGTCTCAAGGGCAGATACAGTCACACTTGGCTCTGAGCGCTTGTTTCTGTCTACCGGGGTGAGGCCTAAGCTCCTCCGGATTTCAGCACTCTTCATCCAGAACTCTTCTACAAGATTACTCCGTTTCAGGGCTTCTTCTGCTGTCGTAGGGCTCCCCAGTTTTTCCACCTCAGTACCCTGGCTCCTTAGGACCAGTTTGGCCAGAGGAGTAGACGTTAAGGCTGGGACAGGTTGGAAGCATACTGGAGGCTCCACTGGGGATGGAATAGTCGTTTCAGTAGAAGGCAAAGGCTGTGAACAGATAGGCGTTGGAGCAGATGTTGGGGATGAAGACGATGTTGGTGCTGCTGGCTGAGACTCTGCTGGTGATGGAGATGCAATGGCTTCTGGTGATGCAACTGGCTGGGATAATACCGGAGAGACTGGCACGGAAGGGCTCTTAACTTTCCTGTCTTTTGGGATTTCTTCCTTTGGTCCTTCTTCAGGAATGAAAGGCTCAGGGAAAAAGCGTGCCTCGGGAGATTTTATAGGATGGGATATTGCAGCAAGGAGATCTTTTGCATCCTACAAAAGTGGGGGAAAAAAAGAATTATTAGTAGTCACTAGGCTGAATGTTATTCCATTTTTGTTGCTAATCAAGGGAGTTAGCAACACAGAAACCATCACAGAATCAAAATATGAAAAACAATCAAACAAACATGTATGGCACTCCTTTCCCAGGCCTAGAATGTCACTTCGGATATTACATCAGGTATTGTTCATTTCTCTGCTTCTTTTGTATAAACAGAGCATGCTAAATGGCAGAAAAAATAATCTTTTCCTGCCCTCTCTTCCCTTCTCCAACACTGTACATTATGATGGTTCCTTATCTCATAAGTTTGATAACAAGTCTCTCCAGCCCTCATCAAAACAGCCTTTGTACTAGCTAGTGTGTGCTTTAAGTATATGGTTTCTTAAAACAAGCAGAGATTTTTTTCTGCTAGGAGTAAATTAGGCTGCAATTCCCGTGTCCCTTAATGACGTGAAGAGCTTGGGTTTCCATCTCCTACATCCAGACTGTCGTACTATCAATACTGCATTTCTTTGTTTTACAATTAAACTTTTTGGCAGGGAACTCCTTGTAACGTGTTCTGATATTATTCTTTCCAATTGCATTATTTTGCACAAGCTTTCCTTTAACTGCATGAAGCTTGGTTTAACTGACACCAGATCATTAGAGCAGGAACCTATCTCTGTGCTTGTGTAATACCCTGGAATGCCCAGCTCTGGATCTGGCTTCTATCCTAATATAAACAGTAATTATGTTGAATGGAATAATTAGATGTACATAGAAAAATAAAAATCTTGTTTTTAACAGAGTGAATGCTGTCAGCAATTGTTGTCAGCAAACTCACCTTATCCCCTAATCTATCCACTGTATAAGCAAACTGGATTACTGCTGAACTCTGTAGAAAATTCTAATCTTTTAATGATTCCTTATGAACTGACACTTAGAAATAAACAACAAACAAATTCTTCAAAGGAACTTTTTAAGGGTTATTATGCTCTTACATACCAGCTATTAGACGCATACTAAGCTCTGAACTGTAATGAAGTCAAATCTCAAGATCAACATGAGACAGGAAAGCAGGAAAGACAACTGCTGTCAGTCTGCATTATCTTATCTGGCAGACTGTTCTATTGAACTACAGGAAGTAAACAGAGAGCATCTAAGATTCCCATTCTTACCTCTGTTTCTTTTGCTTTCGGACTATCAACAGGAGACAGAGGAAGAACACTGTCGTTAGCTGGCTGGATAGGGATGGATGGTTTGCATGGAGCTAGGGAAATGAAAGCATGTTTCAGAAAACAAACAGATGACAAATATTGTCCTCTACTGTCATTTGTTGTTACACACAGCATATAGTAACAAAAAAAAACTTACCCTTTTACAAATTCTACACTGGACAGATAAAACCTAGACAATTTTTTGCAAATGCCCAAATTGTGTGGAGGCTTGTTATGCAAAAACTTCTACAACAAAAAGCGGTTACATGGATTCTCACATGTTTTAGGAAGCTCTAAGCAATGGAATCAGAACACCCTTCTGAAAATGCTCATGCAGGCACCTAGGGTGCCCCTGACAGCAGTGAGATGATCCAAATCCGAAAGACTGCCTTCTTTGTCAGCCCACTTAACAAAACTCATAAATACAGAAACTACTCAGAGCACAAGTTACTCAGAGCACTCAAGCAGCTACCTTTTGACACACTGCAAGAAGCACCTTCTGTTCCTTCTTCATCTTCTTCATCTTCAGAGACTTTCAGCTCCGGTTCTTCTGTGTCCCCTTGATGTAAGCGAAACTCAGCTTCTGCATCAGATGCAATGTCATCTGACCATTAATTGTATGGATAGGGAAAAAAAAAAAGAGAGATCTTGAATGTGAGTCCAGCAGGGTATCTGTTTATTTTCAATTTTTTTATAATCCTCTCTACTCACATAATGCTTATCACTGTCATAACCTGAATACTTAAATATTTTCCTTCTTTATTATGTGTTAATTAGAGCAATTCATCAGCAAGTGATGGATGATGAAATAATTAAGTAGATGAAGCCATATCTTCTCAATTTGCTGAAAGATTTTCAGTCTATGTTTTGCAGTTCTTTCTACATTAGTTTTGACAGAGTGTCACAGACTTCTCACAAATTTGCTTCTATTTAAATTATTCTGCAGTATTAATTACTGAGTAAGGACACCAGACTGAGCCCTCTAACTCAGCAGATGTTGAGAGGAACACAAGGAATTTATTCTACAATCCATAACATTAAGGTTCTTCATTCCTGTTTGTCTTTCACCTCTGCTTCAACCTTGTCTAAGTGCAAGGAACTCCTTCCTGCACCATTAGAAATAACATCAGGCTTAGGCACAAAGTAATTTGCTTTTGCCAGTGCTTGTATTTGCTAGTATGATTTTGTTCACATTGCAAGGCTTAAATGATGCATGTTGGTACCCTACCGTCATCCAGCTCTGCACCCGTGTCTCCCTCTTCACCTGCCTGCCCTTCCGTGTCTGCAGGCTCTGTGCCCAGCTCATCCTCCACTTCATTATCCTCACATGGAGCTAGAATATAATCAAGTATTGAGAAAACAAAAAAAAAAAAAAAAAAAAGAAAGAAAATATACAGTGAAAAGGTTCAACATTAAATTGCACTGTATGTCCCTAGTGGAAATATTTATTAAGTACTGTGAAAACGAGGAATTCTGAAGTGTGTCAGCTGGAAAGATATACATGTTCAAATAATACTTTCAGCCTCCACGAAGTCAGAGCTCCTGCCTTTGTGGAGTCTCCAAGACTGGAAGGCAGCCAGGCCTTTCCAAGGCACCGGCCTCGCAAAAAAGAAAAATCAGTGAAAAGGGCACTGGGAAGATATTGAATCAGAATAAAATTTTCTGTTTTTGCAGCATTTTTTTCTTTACCACAGCAGAGCAGTTTACCATCACTTTACAGCATTGTGTATTAGGTGAAAACTGAATTTTTGCAATGTAGCACAATATTTTTTTGAGAAACAAGCTAACTTTCAAACACTTAACACAAAGAGTCTAGTTGAAGGACTGATCAATATTACATTTGGAAATTGTTTAACTCTGTGCTGCTACAGTATTCCTTGGTAAAACAGTCGGAGAGACTTGGTGCATCGTACAAATATGTGAATCAAATTCATCAAATAGATGAATCAAAATGTTTTAAAGTATATTAAAAGGTGGGTTTTTTTATTGTTAAAGACCACAATTCTTGATTCTTGAATTCTTGATTCTTGAATTTATAACATCAAAGGGCGCATCTGAAAACAGCACCCGTGACAAGATTTAATTAGAGGAGAAGGACCCAGCTGTGCAGGTCTAAATTTCTTTTTTAAATTATATTTAAAAAACTAAAAAAGACTCTACTAACTCTCAGCTTATCACATCTTTTCCCTTCTCTAGTGTTTTGAGTGATGGACTAGAAATTTGTTGGTGATATTTAGGCATTTTCATGTTATTCTGTATGTCAGACATGATTTAAATAAATAAATAAATAAGTAAATGTGACTCCATTTTTTTCACTTCAGAGTCTACCAACTGCTTTTTTGGATCTCTGCAGTGAATTACAATCTATTTAATGTCATCATCATGAGACACTTAGCTTGTTTTTCATATGCCAACATATTGTGAATGGGTACGCAGATAATATATGAGTACCATTATGTACAGTATTTACTAACTGAACACATAATATCCTAAATGAGGATACCAGGCACATTTACAACTGCCTTGGTCACATCTATAGCAGTAAACTAAGCAGCGTAAGCCTCCAGACCTGAACCCACACATTGCCAGGCTATCACTTGTGTTACTGAACTGGTAGGAGGGCTCTTGGCAAGCTTCCCAGTAGGTTTGTGCCATGGAGAGGCTGCAGGGTGTTCCTGTTAGACACTCTGGGTGATGGCAAAAAAGTTTTAGCCATATGGGTGCACATCAGGCTGTGGTAGCTTTCTTCAGAGTCAGAGAGTGGGCCTGGACCTTTTTATTTACTAGGGAAGATGTGGCCTTTGGCACCATTAATTAATGGGGGCAATCTTAAAAAAGAAAAAAAAAAAAGTCTCTAAAACTGAGATCTTATTGTGTCCCCTCCTTCCCTAACCCAGGTTTTTGCTTATTTCAAAACACAGCCTTTTGCTTTTCCCTTCCATAGCAGTAGTCTATTTTCTGCAAACTGTTGTGGCAAGGCAGTTATACCCAAGTGTGATAAAGCACTGGCGTAGTCCCTCATGTTGGAGGCTTACAAAACGCAGTCTTACAGGTCTAGAGCACAGGAGTCGAGCAATAAAAGCTCGTCTTCCCACAAGAGCATTTATAGGCATACTGAACAAAACCAAACGGTGCCTCTGACTGTTGCTCTGGTGAATATTTTGAAAAAGATAATGTCTTAGGATGGTTTTAAGGTAAAACTGAATGTGAATACCCTTTACCAAAGCTTGAAAGAATGTAACTGATACGCATGAGTGTCTGCTGATGGAGAAACCATGAGGTGACATGATTCATATATGGAGTGTTTAAGACAGAGGAGAAAAATGAACCTTTTAGATAGCTTGGTATATAAAACTCAACAAAAGATTTTAGGGATGCATGGGTAAGTAACAACTCGGTGCAAAGGGGATCCCCTTTTAAGGGACGCGGAGAGCTTGCAAGTGACTGATTATATTATACATATACTGTGCATATACGTATACGCAGTTAGGGTAGAGAGCAAGAGGCCAAAAGCTGTCACACACTAACTTCAAGCTACACCCCATGGCAGCCAGCAACTGGGTTTAGCACTGGGTCCATCTCAGCAGCCAGGAGCAGACTGCACCACGTGCAGCCCTCCTGGGAACGCTGCTGCCTTGCCAAAGAAAAAGCAGAAGTTTTACAGGTGAGCTAGTTATTCTGAGGTGCCAAAGCAACAGAGCCACACATCAACTGCATATCCATGAACTGCTCCCGTTCCACTGCTTTAGCCACTTTCACTGCTTCACGGAATTTGACTCCCTTAGTCTAATCCCAGACTCTTCACTCATCGGTTCTGCAATAGAGCTTAGAGAACCAGCTACAGAGGGCAGCTCAACTCTACCACCCTTCAGCTCTCCTGAGGCTTTCCTAAGGTACATGAACTCCAAGTCAAAGGAGACACAAGAGCTATCACTACTCCCAGAGATCCCACCTTAAACTTCACTTTTATTTCTTACTTTCATCGCAAGATAGCTAGAATTTGTAATTGCTTCAGATAGTTACAGTTGCTGCAAGCGCACTCTGTCACTTAACCTCCCAACTGCAAGAAAGCCCCCCTTTTTAGTGAAGGAGCTGGAGGATGCCTAACTGATCTACTCTTCTGCTCATAAAGCAAATCAAAGCACTCAGCCAGACTCCTCCTCCTACCTCATTACTCCGAAGACAACCCCTCTGCTCAGCCTGCCTTCCAAAGGGTTACAACAAACGTCTGGTTCATGCAGGAAGGGGCTGTCGGAGCAAGGCAGCATGCACACTCCCCTGCTTCCCTCCCTCCTTCCCTCCCCTGCCAGTCATGCAGTAGCGACAGGGCCGTAAGGTCCAGGGTTAAAGTACCAGCTCAGCTGCTGAAGGCATGGAGAAGAGACGGGCAGGGTTATTGTGCATTGCAATACATAGAACATCACCAAACTACCTCCAGGGACCGTCTCCAGCCACGCCTGTACCGCCTCACGGCGTACCGAGGGAAGGTCGGATGCTGAATTTAAAAAACAATAAAGCGTAAGAAATCAAAATTAGATCATCAGGAAGTGTTCTAAAAAGTGAAACGTGACAAAAGGGAAAAATTAAAGCTGAAACTATGGGAATGAAACCTGCAAGATGTTAAACCATTGATCACAGGCTTGGGATTTAAAGTAAGCTAACACACAAATGCCCAGGGCCTAATATTCCTTTAGGATCTGGGAAGTTAGAGGAAATACAGATGATAATGTAAGGAAAACACAGTTCTTAGTATCTGATTAGCACATTGCTATTGCCATACTCAGCTGGAAATTTTAAGAAAATTAATAGATGAGAGAGCTGAGCAATGAGACATAACCGAATGTGCCAGGCACAGTGTTTCAGGATCTGCACTGCCTGGCTTTGAACACGACCAGACAGGGAGGAAATCCTAAAACAGGACAAGAGAGACTTCAGTGTTTCAGCCATGTTCAAACCCGAGATCAAACCCTACCTCTAGCTGCTCCTCGGCTGAGCTCTCTGAATGAGCTCGTATGCCATAATCCAGGCCACCCAGGATCAAATCTGTCTGTCAAACTCAGATTGAAAACTTATGGCATATCCACAAGTACACATGTGCAACAGATCTCTTATAAACACACCACTGATACGTTCTGTACCGCAGGGCAAAGGAAGCAGCTACCTTTTGGTGAGTACATCTTCCTTAGCTTGGCCTACTTTGAGGGAAAGGGAAGGAAATACTGCCTGCTTCCCAAAAGAAGCTGGAGAGACTGCAAGATCACTTTGGTAGGATCAATGCAGGTTTTCCCTTATTCTGCAGGCATCTGTACTAATATACTCTGGAAAGGCAGGAATCAGAAAATACAAATTAAAAGAAAAACTCAAAAGCTGTAGTGTCATAGACCTTCAAGCAGAGGCTGAATAAACCTTAATTGTAACAAGCTTAAGAAACCATGTTACTGTTTTTTACTTAGGGTTCTTAAAGTTTAAACAACCACTTCAGGAATATTAAATGTTACCAATGGTGGAATAGGTACCATTTCTATGATTGCAGTGGGAGCAAAATACTGATCTCCTGCTTGTAAGAACACATTTCACACTACCAAGTCCACGTGCATTCTCTAAACTGCAATTATAAACACACCTTAACTGAACTGTAATTATGTATAAAGTTGGCTCAGGATTTAAGAAAAGGTCAGCTAGAACTACAAGGAAAAGGTAATTACCTCGCATGGAATAAGATCAGGTAACATGAGGTAAGATCCTAGGTTTCTTTTTTTTTAATACAGATCAGTCATCAATTTTACATTTACTGTAAAAGAAACCCTTTTCACAGCACACATTCCCTCCACAATTCTGGCACAATGACTTGGATAGAAGTCACTAAAGCAGCATCACTAGTTTTGTTTGACTTTGGGCTTCTGGAGAAGTAAAGCATGTGTGACACACTTACCTTCTGACACCCAGTAATAAAGCCTAGCAAGGAGTCTGGTGCAGGGATCAGCCCAGCAGGGATGGTAGGAAAGGTGCTTATAAGCTAGTTAGAAAGTTGGCATTTCTCCACCTCCAAAGCTTTCCTTTAAGTAACCAGCAACTCAAGAAGATCGCACCTCACTTTAAAACACAGATAACACTGTCAAATCTTGGCTACCTTTGAATTCTTGTCCTTCTCTGGCAATACCAGCTGCAGTTACACCGTTTGAAAAGCAAAAGCAGAGAATACGCTCAGGAGACAGAAGCCAATGCTGTGCTTCTCACTGCAATGCACGTAACCACACTTGAGCTTCCCTGGGAGTCGAATCCTCATTGCCACAAAAAACCTATGGCAGCTTCTAGCTTCATCTGTAGCTTCTAGCTTCATCGCAAGTCAGCTACCATGGGCTGATATCTAGCTCTAAGCAAAGCACTTCCACAGCATGGAAGAAAGCAATGGAGTCAAAACAGACACATGAATAGGTCAGAAGTCACAAAGCTGCTGAGCTGAGAAAGTAGTCGCTTTAGGCAGAAACTAACCTGAAAAGCAAAATGTTTAACCAACTGCAATTTCAGAAAGCAGCACCTTTGAATCACTATTGGCCCTTCTGAAGAGCACTGCTCAGTAAGGGCACAGAAGCAACAGAGTTAAACAGCTGCGATTGTTATCTAGGAACTGACAGTGCAGGGGGAGATTACCTCTGGAGGTGGAGGACTTGGAGGCTGGGACCATTTTTTCCTCCTCCTCTTTTTCACGGATGTGTGTCCAGTGCACATCTGCCAGGATCTCCAAGGGATCAACCGGATTTACAATCTGCTGCAGTCTAAGGTTTCCAGCTAGCAAATCGAGGACATTGCAGACCAGGATGTAGGTGGGGGGAAGATGAAGGACAGGGAGGAAAAGGTGGGAAAACAGTGGAAAGGAAAAGTAACACATCACAGGAAAAGAAATATGAAAAGAAGAAAATATTACTGACCAAGATCAGCGTGCAAGACAGACAGAAAAAGCTCCGCACTGCGTGTGCACACAGCCACCAATACAGTAGGTTCCCACTCCTCATGTTCCACACCAAAGCTGCATCGTGCCATTTCAAAGGCAAAGAGATATTACTGAAAACATCATTATAGATTATCTCTACTGCAAGCAGCTTCACTGATATGAAAGACATTTTCTGGTGTCCAACAGATATGGTTGGTAGATAAATACCGTTTTAGCAGATATTTCCAGCTTTTTTAGCCTCTTCCACATGATTATTGCCAAAGATAACCTTGCTGTTAAAGACAAAGGACAATCTGCATTGTAATCTGATGCACCAAAACAAAAGGACCTTCATTCTCTACTATTTGGTTAAATATTCCTTCCTTTGACAGGTAAATCTTTGTGAATTAAATTACATGTTGGACTGCAGAGTTTCAGGTCTATGTCTATGCGCATGGGCACACAGGGCCACACATTTGCTATAATAGTGAAGCACATCACACATTCCTGCTATTTTGCACTAACTGCATTGTTTAAAGGGTGGAAGAGCTTTCTGAGCAGTCTCAACATTTTCCTTATGACTTACCTCCTCCCCACAAAGATTTCTCTTTGCAAAAAGAGCTTTGTTTCAAAGGAACTACATTATTGCTCCTTCACTTGCCTATACAAGCAGGAAAGCATATGGGAAGCAATTCATTTAGCTGCTGAGTGAACACTCATGTTGAAAGCACCTTCCTGTGAGTCTATTATCTTCACAGAGCCTTTCTCTACTGCCACCTGCTACAGGCCTCTATCTCAGGTTTTGTTTGCCCATTAATAAACAGATCATTCTACAGGGACCACAGTGTTCAACATCTCTACAGGGGGTGGTCTTCAAAGGCAAATGACTCATCCTGAATACTAAAACGCCCATTTTATGAAATTAAGTCAATATTCATGGGCAGATTATCATTGTGTAGGGCAAACCACTATTTCAGCAACTTAGGGCTCAAAAGCAGTTAGACTTTCATACGCTGGATTAGTGGTTGGAAGGGAACAAGAAACAAAGCAGTCTTTAGAGGCCATACTCATCAATTCCTGATGTCCTGTTTTAATGCAGTTGCTCTCTCCCAGCAATGTTCCCCCAGACATTAAGGAGTGTTTCAGGAATGACTGGGTACGATTGCTGGCATTAAAACTGCAGAAGAAACAAGCAGAAGAAACTGCAGGAAGGACAGAATCTCCAGGTGATGATTAAAGGGGAAGAGGAATGAGACACAAACTCAAATGCGGAGTAGGATTCACAAGTTAGACACATATTTAGCAGCTTCATCTCTCTATTACCTCTACAGAAACGAATTCAGCACAAAAATATTGTCTAATCAGAGCTACTTGACATCCTGTGGAAAAAGGTTTTTTTCTCACGGCATACCAAAGCACTCACATGCAAGCCCCAAGATCAGTAGAGTTAGCATTTGCATCCCCACATAAAATTTTGTGTTAAATGGTTTAGATTTGCCAGCAATGGCTGCAAAATGTATAGTCATTCAGCAAGGCTCAAAAAGAGCAGGTCCCACATGATCTGCATGTTTTTAACAGGGATTTGCTTGTGATTTAGGCCACTGTAACACACACATGTGCAGTCAACTCCCAGGACTCTATGAAAAGGCCTAGGCCTTGATTAGGAAGTAGGCCTTGTTCAGCTTTCAACATGGAAACTGCAGTTTAAACAGCACCAATAACTGTCAAGGACGGCTGCTCGGCTAACAGGCAAACCTAAGATTTCTTCAAGTTATGAATGCTTCAGAATTTCAAATGACAGCTGGTGCAGCCTTCTCCATGGCTGCCCACTGCAGCTTTGCAAGAAGCTGCACATTTGTTCTGCCCAGGATAGGCAAAACTTCTTTTATATTAGCACCTACCAGCACTTAGTAAGAAATGGGCAGCCTTAACGTTTAGCTTTTAATGGAATGTGAAGTCATCCACAAATCAAGTTCTTAGAAGCCAGGTATAAGGCAAACTAGCAACTAAAACATGGGAAAACTTTTCAATTTGTGCTCTCAAGCCATACTACTACTACTGTTAATCCTTCTCACAAGAAAAGTTACATTGAGAGAAATACAATATCTGATTTATTGTTTTATAAATATGGCAGATGCTAAGCTACAGTGGTTACAATTGTAAGTCCTGAAGGATGTAGTCTGACAACTGGGTATGCCCTCTTACCTGTATGAAGGCCTTTGGATTTTCTTCTCATATATTTTGGCTCTAATGAACCACATCGAGCAAATAATGGATTAACAAGCTCTTAGGACCAAGTGCTTTGAAAGAGCAACTATCAGAAATGAACTGCAGCAAAATTCATTATGGAAAAGAGCAGAGCTAACTACACCGGAACACCAGATTATCTTCACTTAAGTTCATTTTGTGACTTTGAAAAATTTCAGCAGCTTTAGAGTTTGATTACCTTCCCCAACAGACTCGCCCCACAGACACACATTCACAAAGGACAACAACAAAAAAAATGCAGGTTTGCTCACACAGGCATCAAATTACAGCAATCCCGATGTGTCCCAGTGTGTCTGACATAGTGTACAGGTGCAACCAGTCTCTATGAAACAAATCTGAAACGTCCTAAATAAGCAAGTTTAGTGTTCAAGCACTTTATAGTGGCAGACTGATCAGGATTTTGAGATATCCCGAAGTATTTGGCAGCTCTACCTTTTCCCTAAAATCAACAGAGATGACAGACAGAGTACAGCAAGGATCAGGAGGTAAAGAGAGCAATAGCGACTGACTCCGTTTTGAGAGAGCTGGTAAAGCAATTACATAAAAGAGAAAATTTTCTCATGTGGGAACTGCTCTTTAAGACACTCCCCCTACTTAGGGGGAAATTGAAATGGAAATGGTATATGGGTACCTTTAAATGTACCCGTGTCCTCTTCATTTGAGAGATGTTGAAGCCAGAGGCCTTGCTGCAGCTCTCTCTCCCAAGGGCAATACTCTCCCTCTACAGCAGAGGGAACCACACATCCACATACAACACCAGACACACGTGTGCGCACACACAAGCAATGGAGAGAGAGAAAGAGAGAAGGTACAGAATCAAAAAGAATTGTCTGCAAATCCAGTGAGAGTTATTCCCACAGTATTCAATGTGCCTGACAGGAAAACTCTACTTGACAGAAACAACGGCTGTCTGAGAACATCATGGTTTAGTAGAGAAAACACAAAACATGCAAGTTACCATTCATAAAAAGCAGCCTTGACTTTCAAAGGTTTCAGCTATGGAGACTCAGTTCCTAAGCTGAAAACGTAGCCAAGCAGCATGTTGAGTTCATGAACACAAACTGCAACTCAGACTCAGGGTAACTGGACCGCTGCTTGTACAAAGAGACCAAAGACCTTCACCAAGAAGCTCTTTGGAGTCAAATAGTCTTTAGGAAAAGGGAAATGAAAGTACACAGACAACATTAATAAGAAATCTGAAATGATGGTGAAATGCTGAAGACATTGTATATTCTTAACATAAGCTCTGCTTTATGGTGACTGACACAAATGGGAGGGAAAGAGTCTTTCTCTAAGATTTTCCACAGAAATCCAATCTAAAATGAGGACAACCTGAACTCCCTGTCTTCTCAAGAACTTCTTTTAAATAAGACGAGCTGGAAGGAGCTTCTGGGATGCCTTCATGTTAGCTGTAGGGGACCACCTCCGAGGGAGGCACCCTGAAAAACTGAAAACACTGCCTCCACAATGCTGCCAGTTCTTTCTGTCAAAGAACAAAGGGCACATTCAAACCCAAATCCCAATGACAATAATAAACAACAATAAAATGCATTCCCACAAAGCTGTGAGCTGCACATGTTGGCATGGTGAATGGGCAGCATATTGTGTTGTCATTAATGCTGTAACTATCCTGCAGGGAAAGTTCTTCCATATCCAGAATGAGCCACCTAAAACTTCCCTTGACAGTAACTCACTGAAAATCAAAGCAATATGAATGTGAAAAGAGAAAGAACGATTTCCAAGGCAAATCTTTTTCATTTCAAATACGCAGCTCATTTTTCATTCCTGTTTAGCAGAAAGAAAGGACAAATCAGTCTAACCTTCACTAGACTGCTCATCCTCCTCCTCTTCATCTTCTTCATCCTCATCATATTCTCCCTCTCTGTCTTCAATGTCAAGATTCTCCTCGGCCTCAATCTCTTCTTCACTCTTTCCCTTCAGGAGGGCATGGATTCGCACAGCCTCTTTCCACGGCACGCCACCCAAGTCTGAGGGGGGTTGCCGAGGCTGCAGTAGTTCATCTTCATCTTCCTCATCTTCCTCCTCCATCTCAGACTCCGAACTACTGCTTAAAAAAAGAAAAAGACAGCAAGCAGTTAATATTGCTTAGATGACTCTACAGGTGACTGACAAGGCATTTCAACACGTAACACCCCAAAACATACAGTGGAAACCATGACCCTTGTCACCTTCTTTCAACATTTCATAGGCATTTTACTCACAACTTGATCAGTGCCCTGCAGTATGGTGTCTGCCTGCTTCTTTTCACACACATGAAGCAGCATGAAAGTACCTATGAAGCTACATCCAAGTATTTGTACAGCAATCACTGTTACAGCACTTGAGCATACCCAAGTTGAGCACTAAGACCTGACTTTACTCAAGCCACATTGCTTTCACTCCGCTGTGACAAAAGATTGTTTGGCAGGGTCAGAACGCAGAAGGTCGTATCTTTTGATAGTGGCAAGTACTGCTGGCATTTTGGATAGCTAGGGCATTTTGGGCATTTGCTGGAGGCAGCCACAGAAGGCTTCAGGAATAGAAAGAACACAATGCGCAAGAGAGCTACGAGGCCAAAGCACACAGCAGGGTGAGCTAAGGACAGCTGGAGAGAAATGCACAATTCCACACTTCTCTGCATCACTGGCAGCACTATCATATGTACCCAATTAACTGTGGAATATACATAGTGGCACGAAGCTGCAGGAAACACCGCAAGGACAATTACAATAACGTGCCTACTATTCTCCCTCTGAAGTCTAAAGCATGGAAAACAATACAGATATACCATGAGCATTTTTTTAGCACACATCCTGGTTTAATTCCTCACAATAAGCTGCAGGGGCAAGAAACTGCCCACAGAATGACATTTAAGCTAACTCAGTCTTACATACTGGACCATCCAGAGATAGCTGGGAGAAAGGTTGTTGTATTTGACACTGGAAAATTAATGTGACCCATCCTACACTCAGAGAATGCACCTGCAGAGCAAAAAGGGATTCTTTCTTTGTTAATCTTTAAGAAAGCATTGTCAGGAGGAAAAAAAAAAAAAGCATTTGCTAGAGCAATAGTTGGGTACTTCCCATATATAAATCTTAACAGGCCCAGAAGGCTACTTGTGAATGGTTAACATTCTGGGTGACTCATCTGAGAACAATACCCTCCTCCTGCTGCTTCCTTATGGCAGCTATCATTGTGTTTAACAAATGAATGTCCCCAGCAGACCCCTTTCCATACAGACAATGAGAGGGAGAACCCGACAAGTTTAAAGTCAAGATGAATGACATTTCAATTCCATGCATGCCTATAAAATACAGCTTCTACAGCTGTTATAATTTTGCTTTTCATGTATGGATTTTTATTACATGAACATTCAATGTGTCGTACTGATACTTTATGGAAACTGCTACCTGGCAGCACCCTTTTTCTTATACTGTACACAAACATATTCAGGTGCAGATCACAAACATACTCTAACACTAGGCATAGTGTTGTATCTATGTATTTATGTGCCATATTTATGTAATTTTATTCAATCATTTCCCTGAGTATTTTTGCTTAAAAATTAATAAATAAAGCATGATCAGTTTTACTGTGCTCTGACTGCCACATGCTTCCATCTATAGCCCCTTAAATTCCCCCCACTGTACTGTACTGATTAACGTAAAATACTCAAATTATAATTGACTTTTCCACAGCAGAAACTGAACATTTATTTTGTACTGTCTGTCCTGGTTTTCACATAGCAAATACCGAATACAAATGCTGCTGCATGCCACAGATGCAGTGTATATTCTAGGACTGAGGCATACTCCAGAGGCTTTGTGCAGATATTCCCACAGAATTAAATGTGATGTTCCCTTTCTCCCTCCTCCCTGATTAACAGTACATTTTCCTACCCTTCAGCGTGAAAATAAACCCGACAGGTGCTGCCTGTTGGGTTTTCAGTTGCTGGCTTTACACTTTGCTGCTGCTCAAACTGTTGCCAGGACTGCTGAATGGGTCAAGCTGCTGTTTTTCACCCGGCCTGCTTATGTCATGTAATACTGACGACATGGATTCTTTACCACATAGCTCACTTTACCTTCTTTGGCATTTATTTATAAACATGCTTTTTGCCTGACCTTTCAATATTGGGAAATGATGAGCTGGGTAGCTGAAGAATGACAGAGAGATGGCCTGCTAGAGCCAGTATTCCTTCTACTATGGTAATTTTTTTTTGTGCCATACGAAATAATCCAACAGCTAAGGCTTTTTTTTTAATTTTTCCTATGAAGCAGTGACCAAAAGTAACAGTGTTTGCTTTATGGAATTTGTATGGACAGCTGAACAGCTTTTTAAAACAAGTACATGTATGGCTGATTAGAAGAACCCAAACTTAATCCATGCAAACTAACCTCTTCTACTCCCCTGCCATATGGGCCCAATACAGCTGCCCTATCACACCCCTTTCATGTGCTCCCTTGACAGAATATTACACTATACCAAAATGACAAATGGCATACTGCAAGTGTTGCTTAAAATGGACAAATAAGGGTTTATTTGTAATTTAAAGGGTTTTCTACCCCTCAAATGCCATACAGTCTGGGTTTGGCTGCTTAAATGAATTTTTTCTTCTTGAGGACTTATTTCGTAGGCAAGACTCTCTCTCCTTTGAAACAACCCTACTTCAGATACAGTTTCCCAGAAGTTTTCTCTGTAACATGCACGCTCATGTGTGCGTGCACACGTGCTCTGGGCAGCTCTGCATCAGAACCTGGGCTTTCTTCTTCATTTAGAGTGTGCAACCACATGTGCCTTGAGGGTCAGCCCAGTATTCCGTAAGATGAGAGATCAGAAAGCTGCACGTGTACTCAAAAAGCACCTACCCCTACGCCTCTGCAGCAAGACAGTGAATATAATCAAATCAGGGGCTTGGCTGCTTGCTTGCAGGAGTCAACATTTTTTCCATTCTTTGCTGCAAAAGTGGTCACACTTTTCCTTGGCTTTTCTTTGCCTTTCTCTGAAGCAGGAAGGACTGGGTACAGCTGAATGTTGGACACTGCGTAACTGTATCAAGTAGAAAATACTCTGGTGTTTGGCCTACACAGTCTAATCAATGCTCTAAATCAAACTGCTTGCCATTTTTGGTTTTGGGACAGAAATGGGTTTTTTTGGGGTGTTTTTTATTGTAGTATGTGATTTAAACCTGCAAAATTTAACAATTCAGTCTACTAGAAACTAAAATATTTAATCTGAGTTATAAGGATGAATGCTGTGGAAAGTGAAATAAATACACTGGCCCACAAGAGAAAATCAAGCTAACTAACACAACGGGGTACTAGCCTCAGTCTCCAGAGTCCTACTAAAATGACTCTTGGACAGGAGCAACAGCTTCATGCTGAAGTGCCATTTTTTTCACCGACTCTTCTCTTTTGGAAGTCTTCTGCCATTTACTGGCCAGGCCAAATGAGTCTGAAATCATGGCCAATAATAATAAGGGTCTACGAATTTTGAGGTTTATAACCAAAAAAGGATTATAAAACCCACAATATTACTAATGTCTGTACTGTCATAGTTGATAAAACTCTTAAGCCTGGGCAGGGAGCTGAAGGAGAGCTGAGAAAAGCAAACAGAATTTGAGTCACTCAAAAAATGTTCCAGAAAACATTTAACTAGGACAAGATCTCTGTTGTGTAAAATTTATCAAAATAGAATATTTTAAATAAACCAATGCATTAAAAAATGAGGTGTTATTATAGTTCCACAAAAGCAGGAGTACAAGGTAATAGCAGTTCCCCAGGCACTTACATTAAGTCACACATTCCCAAGTCCAAACTCATATCCTTATCAAGAGAGTAAGAGTTCAGGCTATAAAAAGCTGCTCCTTTCTAGATGCTACCTCTTCAAGCTTATCTTATAAGATAACTTGGATTCTGTATGACCATAAACCTAGGAAGATTTTAATGAACAATTTTATACCTGCACCCCACCAATTCAATTTTATCTCTCAGGTATAAGAGTAGAAAGCAATTTCTTACACAACACTACACCTGTACGAAATGTATATATAGAATATGTTTGTAACATCTGAGTCTCAGGAAACTAGCAGTAGAATTATCTGAGTTAATTTCAAAAGGAGTATTGGGTAGACTGAGAGCTGAAAAATTACAGGTTGTTGTTGCTACAAAGAAAAGTAGATGATTAGAAATCATATTAAAAGATCAAGACAGTAGAAGTTCATGATTGACTACAATGGTCCCATTCAATCTTCATCAAATATTTTCTCTCAGTTGTTCTTGCAGCAACCAGTGCCTATGCCTGCAAATTTCTGGATCCCGGCATGTCTGGACATCACACATAACGGGAAATTTGTGATGGGGTGGCACATTATTTTTCAAAAGCCGTATCTATTGCTTCAAAGTAAGATCTTTTAGGCACTGCAACAACATTCAGTCCAAGTTACACCTGTGTCAAATTTAAGCTTTAATTCACAGATGTTTTTGAGTTGAAATAGAGTTAACTTTGGAAAACACCCTCTCTTTTTAATACATGTTCTGTTGCTCAGATGACTACTGTGTCTTTAATACAATTCCATCCTCGTCCCAATCCCTTCCAATTTAGGACTGATTTTCATGCTGTTATATTTTTAAGTACTTTTTTAAGAAAGTAAGTAATTCAGAAGACCAGAAACTCTAACATAAATTATCCATGTACATATGCACAATATTTCCAAGAACTCTAAAAAGGGCAACCTGGTAAATTATATGTGAAAAAAATCCTAAAGGAACAGCTGGTAAAAGTCTGTTGGGATACATATAAACACCTTAAGTTAAGGACAACGTGTGCTAACCTGCTGGGCCCATCGTCTTCTGTCACTTTGTCTAATACACTGCTCAGGTTATGCTCTGCCAGTGTCTCTTCGGGAACCTCTTCCAGTTCTTCTTCCCGCTGCAGGGAGAGGCGGTAGTTCTCCAGCTCGATGCGCTCGGGGGTGCCACGCAGCCGCTTGGCAAGGCTGGGCTCTTCCAGCCCATTGAGGTTGGCACCTAAGGAACAAGCCAGTGAACAAATGGTAAACGTAACAGCCAGAATGGCACTTTCCTAAGGAAACTGGGCAACTGGGAGAACTGGGACATGAGGCAGAGGGGGGTAAATAAAGCAAGAGAAAGAGAATACCTTATGTTATTATCCTGCTTGCCACTACAGGCAGAACCTGCTGGGGAGGCAGACTGCAAGAGGGAATCTTAACCGTTCTGCCTAATACATGCTAAAAAATTGATGCTGAATGTCCTAGTTGAGAGAGGAAGTAAGGACATTTTAGCTGCATAAAACAGAGCTATAGTGGTGTCTGTTTGGTAAGGACTGCCACAGACTGGGCATGTCCCACGAGACAAAGTAGAAATGCTGCAGCACAATCCCACTGCACAATGCTGAAATTGTTACCAGTCAGGTTGAGTGGGACTACAGAGTGAAACAGCATGAAAATATTACCTCTACTTAAAGAAAAAGGGAAGGGGAGAAGAGGAATGGAAAGATGAATATGGAGAAAGCTTCCAAACTTTTTCTAGATTTGAATTTATATTTTTTATCAGAGCATGTAATCAGAGCATCTAAGCCACAGGGCAAAACTGACATGAGATGCTCGCAAGCACCAATCCCACAGATCCCAGAAAACTCAAAAGGATACGTGAATCAGGCAGCTGGAGAAAGGAAATACAAAGAAGTTTCACTCAATGTGTCTGTCAATGAATTACGCTCAAACCTGCATTCATCTATCTTAAATTCTAGTCTTCAAAAACATTAGTATTTTACCTTAAGTAGTGTGACACTGTTTTACCCTTATCCAGGTCAGAATTTACAGACAACAGTCTTTCCCAGCCTCTGTTGTGCTATGCTACGAAGAAGCCAAGCCTTTCTTTCATGAGATGATCTCTCCAGTGTTCTGCTCATCCTCCAGCTCTCTGCACCTGTCCAGTTTGGATTACTCTTTCCAGAACCTGCGCGATTGGGATTGTACTCAACTTTCCAGATGAGGTCTTATAAGTGTATCTTGCAGCTCTGCCAGAAATCTCTCATCTGATAAGCCCTGAGAGCACACTGGCCTATTTATACACCACATAATACTGGTGACTTTTATTTATTGACTGATACTGAGATCTTTTTCCTTCTCTGCTTTCAACTGATAAACACAAAACAAAACTCGCACCACTTTCTTAGTGCATGACTTGTCACTTTATACTATTACACGTCTATTTTTAATACCACAGTCCACAAAATTTTGCTCTTCTTAATATATGATATTTTCATCCTCCTCTGCATTGATGATGCTTCAAAATCTTGCCTTAGCAGTGAATTTCATTCCATTACTCTCTCATTTAAATGTGTACCTTCTGTACTCCGTCATTTTACCCAGTTTAGCTAGTAATTACCACGCAGCAGTGTTCAGGTACCTTACTGAAGCCCAAACTGATCAGTTGTATGATGATCGCTTATACAAATCATCACCTATATTATCAATAAAAGCAGTCAGGGCAATCTGGCACAGACTTGGGTCAACCAAAATATTCACAGCATGAACCTGTGCCCGAACCATTTTATACCACTTACCTTTATGAGGTCAAAGTGTGTTATTTGTAGAAAGTGGTGTTTTCCTCCCAAAATGCTTTACCTATTGCTTATACTAACAGATGTGTACGTGTTCAGACAACCTTTTTCTTTTCTTTATTTTTTTTCATTTTTGGACAAAGTGGGAGAGGCAGGGGGATGGGACATTGTTTAGATTCAGCTCAGTTTTATCACCCGGTGAGGTGAGAGTCAGGGTAACTGTTAGCAGGATAAACCCTTTTGATGATAACTTTCTTTTTTTTTTTTTTTGAGAAAGAGCTGGTTTGGTCTCATTTTACTTCTCCTCATTAAAGTACATTAAGATTTGAATTTTACTTCCAGCTCCACTGAGTTAATTTCCATTTCCAAACTTTTCTACATACTAACTAACTTTTTTACTCCCATGCTCAATGGCATTGTCCCAGCAGAAACTGGAAGCTAAATATTCTTTCAATTTCCTGAGAGCACCGAGAATTGCAGTTAAGTCCAGGCCCATCTTCCTTGCGGACCCATTTCCATTTTTCTCCACCTTTCTGCTCTTACACACTCAATGAGTACAGCTGTTTGCTTTCTTTCCCTCTGCAAAGCCTAACTCAGCACGGACTTTGGCGATGTTCCTTTATCCTCATGCTTTCTGGCCTTACACTTTCTCTAAGTGTCTCAACTGTCCTCAAAACATTTTTTTTTTTAATAATTCAGTTTATTTCTCACTTTTTTTTTTTCTCCTTTTCCTTGGAGGCAACTATCCACCCGGTAACACCTTAAGCCTTTGTTGAAAAAGACTACACAGGCCTAGCCATGTAATTAGTGGCAGTTATATTCCAAAACCTCTCCGGAATGATAAAATATCCCATAGGAAAAACTGCCCGGAGCGTTTTTGTCGCTCACTTCTCACCAGGGCTCTGCTCTGAGCTGTGGGGGCTGGGGCCATCGGGCTTCCCCGCAGTACAAGGCACAGGGGCCTGCTCTGGAGCAGGGCTGCAGCACGGCCTAGAGCAGCGCAGGCCCCACCATTTCCCAACGCTCAACTTTAGGCCCGGTATTTTCTGCACGTTTCATGGACCTGGGCTGCACTCTCAGCAAGGATTCGCATTTCACTTCACTCTCTCTAGACCACTTGGGCCAAAGCTATTTTTGTAATCTGTGTTACATTCCCCAAGCCTGAGTTCACAGCAGCGAGGGAAGTGACCTGGAATATTGCTTTGCCAGGTCTGGCTGACAGTGAAAATCCAAAGGATTCTGGGCAATGGAAGAGCACCAAGGTGAGAGAAAGCAAGGGAAGAATATACTAAATCACCACAAAACAGGATCTTTGCTCCCTGTAATGCTCTATACAGAGCAGGGTGCTCTGCTAGGCCCAGCTCCTTCAGCAGAAATCCCTTTGTCCATACTGGTTTTAACTCGTTCTCTTCCAGTGAAGTTCATAAAGTTCACAAAGCAGAAAAAAAAGGGATTTTTTTTTCCAGCTGACATTATTTCTGTTATCTCCTTTTCTAACAACATTGTTTCTGTCATCTTTTCCAAAGGAAAATAGAAAAGAAATATAAAATCATATCCACGTAAATGACCGCCATGAACACAGTATAAAGAAAACAGAAGCTTGATTCACTGCTGCAATATTTGGGGTGAGGGCTGGGAAGCAGATTGGTAACTACAACTCTAAGGTAAAGAATGACTGAAACCCACAGTAACATCTGGTTGTAAGCATTTCACCAGCATATATAATCTTTCCAGCCTTTTTTTTTTTTCCAAAAAACAAGTTATCCTTGCCTTTCTAACTATGTATAGAATGTATAGCCCCCAACATAACTGATACAAAGCGAATCAAAACAGTTTTGTCACAGTATAAACAGAGGGAGCAAGAGATTCAATGCAACTGATTAGAAAAATGGAAAAGACGGAAAAGATGAAAACCCTACCCAAAATTCCAAGCAAAAGGTATGTGGTTGAGCCAAAGCATGCACTAATTTAGAGAAGTTCTGTATGGGAAGAGCCTAGTGCCTCTAGGAAGGAAAGGTACTTCTCTCAGAGCACCATTCCGCAGTCTGTTCTGCAGCTTGCCAGTGAAAGTTACTTGCAGAGTGCACTCTCCATCTGTTACCTGCCATTTCACCTTCCCAGGGCAGCTGGGGCCCATAAAGCCAACTTTCCCAGCCCAGGGAAAAGGGGCTGATGAGGCTGCCTACATTAGAAAGAGTTAGGTTATTATTAGCCAAAGAGGGAAGCTACCTGAAAGCCAAGAGACACTCATCAAGCAATCACCAGATCAATTTAAAAATGCACAAACAACATCCAAAATAGGGCACATTCTAAACCATGGTTCTTTATTTTGCAAGAGCAATGGGCCATGAACATCACATAGATCATCTGAATGGAACTGTTTTCCTAAGAGGACAGGCTGCGTTAGCTGTTGCCTGAAAGCTGCCAGAGTCCTTAACTTATCTCAGCCTTGACGCAGCCCGCCTCCCGTAAAGAAAATCGTGTGATCGGACAGAACATTTTTGCCCTGAACTGCCCTTTGCGAGCACAGTAAGTCCTTCTCTGTGCTCCGATTTCAGCAACTTTGGAGGTTACTGGGAGGCCTGAGAAGCTCTTCTTAAGAGAGAATCCCATGTCTATTTTCCACCGGGGCTACTTTGTTGTCCAAAAGCTAGAGATGAGCTCCCTAAGTTGGATAAAGTCATGCTCAGGTTGCTTCCTGGACTAATGCTTGCTAAAGACAGGAGAAACCTGGTAATATGCGAGTAACGAATTCCTCCCCACCGGGAAGCTAAAACTACCTGTCCTCGCCCAAATCTTTTCTCTGTGGTATTGTATTAGAATTTGTTTTTCATAATCATACAGTACCTCTATACTTCCTCTTCTTAGGAATATCTGTTAAGACTGCAAGGTCTCTAAAGTAATTATCATGTCACACATGAGTCCCCAGTCTCAGATGGGGCTTGGGGAGTTAACAGCAATTCAAAAAAAAAAAGGAGTCTCACGCAGAAGAGGCAGTGGATTAAAACATTCCCCCAGAAAATATTCATTCTAGATTTCTTGAATCTTGTGCTTTTATGATAACCTGAAGCACTGTACCTGTCTTCAGTCCTCTCTTCCAAACTCTTCAATTACCTTCTACCTTCACACAGTGGTTTGAGAGCACAACTACATCAGACAAAAATAGCTCTTATGGAAACAACAGCATATCACATATGACAAAGTACAAGGAAAGAAGATGTGAACCATTCTGCGGAGTATAAACACAATATGGTTAGTTCTGAGTCAGAAATACTACGTGTCCTAGGACTCCATTGACATTAGGTTTTAAAAAACACCTTTTGAGTAAGGAGTCTGAAGTTTGTTTGCAGTTCAGTGGACACAGAGAAGAACAGAGATGTGATATTTGTTTTGGCTTCTCATTTTGCACCTGTGTTAATATCATATCAAGTTTCTGTTTTTT